TCCATCTCTGCCGAAAGCTCACTTATTGCTGCTGCAGCTGATTTTCGCAGTGATCGTGTCCCTATTTCCTTGTCGCATGTTGCTGGCGCATTCCACAACTTCTAAAAATCCTCTAATATGTCAAAATAAATACAATAAACAATGCATTAATAAATTATTGAAATAAGCTGCCTGTATACTTTCTGAAGAGGAGTGAACAGAAATTGTTCTTCAATAACCTCTGTAGAAACTTTCGAACTTACAACTGGAAAGGCACTAATGCAATGAGAAATGATGTAACACTTGAAAGGAAATAAAAAACCGATTTTATTTCGAAACTACTTATATTATCAAAGTATCAAGACAATTTCTGCCTAAAGCGGAAGGAGATTTACCTAAATAGAAGGCAAGGAAGCCTTCAGAGAAGTAGCGAAAAAATAAAAAAAATCATGATCAAATTTTTTATGATGCTCTGATTTTGAATGCTCCAATAACACTTCTGAAATAATAATCCCTTATCTGCTCTAGCAATTTCTTGAATATTAGAAATTATTAAATAACTAAAGGTAAGTGAATAAAAAAAATGACAAAATGCCTACATTTAATAAATCATATTGACTTAAGTCATCGCTACCTAGTCTTGTTCCAGCGCTTTCCTCTCGAACTGTTTTTAAAACACTAAGTATCACATTCGACACAACAAATTCGAAAGGTTCTGCTGCCACCAAAATATCCCTTTCACGTCTCAACATTCCGATTAACTCCCTAAAAGACTGCTACTTTTTCTTCTGCACGTGTGAAAATTTCATTAAAGTCGAAGCTTCTATTACGACTACCTTTTTTTAGTTTACATGTTCAGAATAAAAATTCATTAAGTACAGGAAACTTTGGAATTTCAAACACCTCTTTTCATTCAGTATCACTACACAATTACAAAAGTAAGGTTCACAAAGCAGTTCCTACAGCGACATACAAAATCTCATTCCTAAAAATTTTTCAGAGGAACTTACTCGGTATCTTTATACTTCCCGCTAATAATAATACGTTTCATAAACTCTAACGTTTGTTGCGCAATTTTAAGCGAACTCGCTCGCGGCGAACTAAAAAATGTTGTAGGTAAAAGCACAATAAATCCAACTCTGGTCTGGCTAAATATAAAAAAATCAGAAAGCCAACAAAAAGCCATTAAATATGTACTGCTAAAAAATCTTTTCTTCATCCAGTAATCGGAAAGTGCGTCAATGAATATAGCTCTAAAAACATATTTTACTTCCTAGGAAAAATGAGTGAAAAGAATGTTATATTGAAAATTTGTTTGAAAAAATTTTTTTACCCACTTTCCTAAATTTATTATAATATAGGATTTTCAAAAGTTTAGTTAAACTATTTAAAACTGGAAGTCTAAATACTTAAACCTGCTTCTCAGCAACATCCGTAATGCTTTACGCTGCGCCAAGAAAGGATCTACCTCTTGTTTCTCTTCCATGCGATCCAGAACCTAAAAAGTATCCAATATGTGATTGAAGAAAATCAAACATTCATTCTTAAACAAAGTTTTTCATTGTCACCTCCCTAGCTTCGGTCGACTGAATTCCCCAATGTGCCTAATTGTTTCATATCAACTTCAAACTCAGAAAATATTTGCTTTGTCCGACGTGGCATCATGAATGAAAAAAGAAAAACAAATAAACAGTTTAAAAGAAAAAAACAACAAAAAAGAACCAAGTAAACTGCGCATTAAAATATCTTCAATAATCACTTTTTAGGTGAACAATCTAAAACAACAAACGAGGATATTAAAAAGTTTTCTAAAACAAACACTGAGGAAATTAACTTCCGCACAACTATTTATTCAACTTCTATCACGAACAACTACAACCTCAAAGACCGTTTAATTTCCAACAGTATTACTCTTCGTAATCCAATACGCCTACCATATAACTCGAAAAACTGCTCCACCGTTGTATTTTCGAGAAAGTAAACTTGACTTTGTGCTTAGCTAAAGGGAAAATCGAATTTATTCAATTTGTTTCTACTCGTTCACTCACAACTATTTGTTCAGCTAAATTTTACAGCCTACTGCTTTCGAAAGCAGCCTTCGCCAATGACAGTTTTGTTCTACCCGTTTGCCACTTTTTCGTTAGCCGTCCTTCCCCACTACTCCCCCCGATACCAATTATGACTACACTTTCTAGAACGGCGGCACACTTCTACGCTCCTACTACTGCGGTTAACACCCAGTATATTAAGTAAATTAATTACTCAGCTACTTTCCTTAATTACTTCTCCGTAACTCAAGGTTGTCTATGAAAATCTTTTATTTTTTCTACCGATATACACTTTGCTTATTACACGGCACTACTAAAGTCACAGAAATTTAAAGGGGAGAATTAGTTGCTAGAGATGTACTGAGTAATCTTAAAAGAAAAATGATCTTAATACCACTTCTTCACCAGCTCAAAAAAGTACAGCATATCAGCGCATACATTCTATAGTTAACTTCGGGTACAGCTGACCAGGCAAGATCCTATCAGAAAAACTACTATTCGTAAGCCTTTCTTTTATATGAACAAGATGCAATCTGTCGCCTCATGGAATGTCGAGCCAAACGAATTTGCCAAAATTACGTAAAAGGTATACATTTTATATGTAATTATGTTAAATTTACGGAAAACTCCGTCAAGTAAAACCATAATTTTTATCTAATTAGTTGATACCGTTCCAGCTAAACCATCTAACCATCTGAAGTAGCTCGGCAACACAGCTTTTTTTTTTTGCAAGTACGGCTTTTAAAAAACCATTTTTTTTCTTCAAAGCTTCTCGAATGAGCAACTGGGTCTTGGTCGGAAATGTTATTTTAACAGTTTCAGAAATTTTATCGGACTAACGATGTCAAAAGTGACTTTAGTAAGGAAGCTGTTGATGATGATGAAGCAAGTTTTTCGACTGCTGTCATTCAGTGCCGATGGTTTTTACG